AACTAGAGCTGGAAAGTGTGAGTAACTCCAGAAAATGGCCGGGGCTTGTGGCTATTCTGACATTGTTTGTCGTTTAGTGTTGACTGGGATGGCCATGATTCTGGTGATTTTATCCATGGCGGTCCGGTCCACCACAATGGATGTTCTTGTAGTTGAGATGCATTGATGTCTCGCCATCCTGGCGCAATTCGCTTAATTCGATGTTCCAGGGGCATATCTCCAATGTGCGTTGGGGGTAAGATCCTGAATGATGGAAATCCTGTTTCTTACAAATTCTTTCCATCTTGATGGATGAGACTTTATCCATGTGAGTGTTACTCGTGAGTCTGTCCAAAGATAGGTTCCTTCAACGTCCGCCTTCAGCGTGGCTAGGACGTAATGTATTAGTTTCGATAGGAGTAATGCTGCGGTTAGCTCCAATCTTGGTATTGTGATTCGCTTGAGGAGTGACATTTTAGTCTTGGAACACACTAATGCAGTCACAATGCTATTTGATTCTTGTCGATATTGCTAATTGTATGTATCAGAAAATCCATGTAGCTCTAGGTGTGAGGTTCTACTTATATTGAGCCAACATGGAGATCTCTTCTAATGATCAGCCATTATGACACTTGGGCGGACAGTATCTCGTCCCATTGGAGCTTGTGTAACCACTGCATGAATATCTTTGCTCTGATCACGACAGATGAAACAAAACAGATATTTATCTGAGCCACTTCAGATAAAATAACGCGTTTGATAAGGTTATCAACTTGCACGAGCATTTTTCCTGTCGCGAATGTAAATGTGTCTTGTTGCGGAGACCACCGTAATATAAGAATTTTGGTAGAGTAATCATCAAACTTAATTGAGGTGGTCAAATTATGATCAGTGTTGAATGCGGTGATAACATCGTGATGAGTTGCATACCATTTTGCCAACGGAAAATCGGCCGCCATGCAAAGGTTTCGTAATTGGAGAGCGACTTTGATTAATTGTTCGATAGTGTCTGCACTTTCGAAAATGTCGTCGACATATCGTCCATGGATGATAGAAGACACGACAAGAGGGTACCTACTTCCCTCATCTTCTACTAAATGGAACTCAATGTTCTGACTGCCAGAAATGGGGCAGACTTTGTTCCAAAGGTGACTGTTATTAAGTAATATAGTATTTCTGCCTGTTGCTTGTCTATCGAGTTCGAGTGAATTGAGTGGAGAGTGAGTGATACAATACCTTGTGTTTGAGTTAATTGAGCTCCCTCGATTCCGTGGATGGAAATGATGGAATTTTTAATTGTCTGATGAGGTTTTTCTGGACGAACATAAGTTCAGAGCCTGTGTCAATGAGAAGACGAACTTGTACGATAGTAATTTTTTACCATATTTCGACCATGACCGTGGCTAGAAATGATATGGTGGAATGAAATAATTTTCCGTCTATTGCATCAACAAATTTAATACTTTGTAGCATCTAATAATTAATCTTGATAATATAGAAATTTGCAAACATATGTTTTAGTCGAGTTTATATATAATTTTAAATAGTTTTAAATAATATATATTTGAAATTATAATAACTGTATTATTTATTATAAGTTTACTTTCATTTAAAATATCTGAATATTTATTATGTATAATTTTTAATATATCATATATGAAATTTTTTTAAAACAACGCGGCACCTACATAACAAATAATTTATATTATTAACTATTCAAGGGTAGAAAAATAAAATTATCAAATAAAGACAAATCTCAATAACAACAGGCTTAGAATAAACGGTGACAAATATAATGTTTTTCAAAGCAAAATGAATTCGAACAATTTACAAGATTGTGTCAATTACATAAGAACTTGAAATTTTATAAAATATATATTTTTTTAAATATTTTCCAAATAAAGAAGTAACTTATGAAAATGACGTTAAATAGATCATTCATTACTTAATCAATCAATTTATAGAATATATTGTAAAAGGTAAATTCTAATATATAGTCAAACTTCTAAACGATAAATGAATAAGTGATTATTTTTAACTTACTTCATTGATTGTAGATTTATAAAAATCATATACTCTGTTGAAAATTGAATAAAATAATAAGAGAGAAGTTCGTGATGAATTAGGTGATTTCGCGAAAAGCTGCAGTAATATTTTTTAATCATACCTTAAGCCATTCAGTAAGCAATAATTCAATAAACTTAATATAAAAATAGTATGCTTTAAAGTACTTTGCAGACTTTACTTTAAAATACTTTAAAGAGTTACAAATAATAAAGCTCTAGAATAAAATAATTTTTTGAACAGAAAATTAAGACAATGGATACTTGTATAAATAGTATTATGCACTTTTTTTACGAAGAAAAAAAAACAATAGAGTATATAAATAATATAAATTTTTTATGATTACGAAATTTTTATTCTTATTACAAAATTTCTTTATTGAAGGAATATAATGATCGAGTTACACTTTTATTAATGAATTATTATTTTATACTTGGGAAACTGTCCCTTTTTTTTATTAATAACTATTTTTATAAGTATATACTTAAACACTGTATATTAGTTTTTTTTTTAATTTTATTTCAAGTAACAAAATACTTCATTATTTATAACATAAGATAAATGATAAATGATAAATGATAAATTTGTATAAACGATATGCATAATAAGATCGATGTTATTAAGCATTTTGATAATCAATCATAACTGCTGCGATCCAATATATTCTTAATACCAAAATATTTCTTGTAATTTATGTAGAATGGGAACCTGAGCTTTTACATAATAAAAATAAATACAAATAAATGAATTAAGAAAAATTATAGACTAAACCTTTAATCTACTAAATCTCCAGTAAAAATTAAGTTCTTTTATAATTTACTCGTTACGTTGCAGAATGAAATTTTGCTAACAAGGCTGTAATCCTACACAGTTGCCACATATGAACTTTTATAAAATTTAAAAAAAAGAAAATAAATTTTTGATTGTAATAATCAAATATCGAAAAAAAATTGTATAAAATAATATGTTTAATGATAAATAAGAAACGAATAAATTGTGAATTAAGTGTTGTATATTTTTTATTAAATATTAAAATTTAATAAAATGCATGTCATTCATACAATTACGACTTATATCTAGAAAAAACGAATTAATTAATAATCAATTAGAAATTAAAATTAGAATCATGTATAGAAAAAATATTAACTAACTGTAAGCATTGTTGATGGCCGAAATTTATATGTTAATAAAAATATAAATATATATTTCTAGCTTCCAATACAAAATAAAAATTTGTATAAAATTATATAAATAAATAAATTGAATTAGTTATGATATTAACAATATTATGATATTAACGTTATTTTTTGAAAGGATGGATTCGAAAGGTATTTTAAATAAAATAGTTATTTGTTACTGATGATTACAATTAATGTATATTCTAATGATTAAATCGATTCTTTTGTACATTTTAAATAATTTTCTATTAATTTTAACATAAATAAATATTTATAATTAATATTTTAATGCGTATATATAAAATAATTAATTCTATTTGCGTGCATTTATAAAATTATAATATAATATAATTTTCTATATAATTTATTAATTTTATATTAATTAAATAAATTTGCATTTTTGTAAAAAAGTAATTAGATATTCACTAAATCAATAAAAATTAGTAAAAAGAATTGATTTTATTTGAGAAATTCTTTTTAATGATAAATTTTACAAACTAAATACTAAGTTATTATGTGCAGAATTTGGTAGAAATTTCGTAAATAATCTTAATTACTAATATTAATCTATTTAATAATTCATGAATGTTGTTTAAATACTGGTATATGATTATATTAAGAGAGTTATTAGTGCATATTGATTTTAGAAAATTACAAATTTCAATAAAATGATTACAATTTTATAAATATTCGTTAGCATTTAAATAATTTTATATTATATTACATATAAGATATAATCAAAATATATCAGTAAATAAAATATGTATGTATTTTTGTATTCATTGATATTTTGAAAGTGGATAAATATTCATTTAAGATAAATAAATGATACCATAATTAAATATTTAAATAAATTTAATACTTAATAAATTTAATACTTAAATTAATTTAACCAATAATTTAAGTTGGCAACTTTAAATCTAAAATATAATACTTTGAAATGAAATTTGAGACAAATAAATAAGCAAAAAGAATAATTAAATGAGTAGAATAAAAATCACAATAGAATGTCAATTATAATATGATTATTAATTCCTATTTTATAGAACATTTCTTTTCATTTAGGACATTAATCATTTTAATAACGCTTTTTTACGGAATTTTTTTAGTATTTATAATATTAATATGTAAAAATTCTGTATTTTTGGTTTCCTACTTATTGATCTAATTATGATTAAATTTATTTTTTATATTATTTTTCGAAATTGTTGTTTTCTTCTTTAATGAAATTTTATTTAAAAAATTTATTATTAATTAATTTATATTATTAAATAATTATTAAGTAATTTATGTATAAAATAGTACTTTATTAAATATAAATTATTAAAATACCATATACCAATGATGATATGTACATATCAAATAATAATAATAGTTAATTAAGAATAAATAAAGATATATATGTGTATATATATATATATATATATATATATATATATATATATAATATCATAAGTATAATTAATGCAATAACTAAATTTAAGTCATTGGTACAGGTATCTGGGGAATCTTTATAAATATTTATTATGAAGTTATCACAATTTACTAAAAACATTAAATTATTTATTTTATATTCATAATAAAATTGCAAGTATTAAAAATAGTTTTTAAAACTAGCATATTATTAAATAATTATTGAAAATATTTTCATTTTCTCGTTGCTGATAAAATCGATTTTATAGTTGTATTTATATTGTTAAACAAAACTTGTAAAAAAAGGAGCAATCTTAAATTGGAAACAAAAATTAATTTATATATTTAAAAATTTCGTTTAAATTTAATATGTAATTAATTTGTTGTTATCTGTCGTTCTGCGATTTCTTGATGTATTCTATGTGATCCGTCGCCTCTGTTTGTAATTACTGTCTGAATAAGGTCCGTTGAAGGTTGTTTCCGATCATAGACCCACCCAATATAAGCAAAAAAATCAATTATTGCTGTTGTCAGGTTGAGATTATAGTTACCAAATTCCGCAGCTTTGTAATCCCAAGGAAAAACGTGATGATAGTTGTGCCATCCTTCGCCCATTGCCACAATGGATACGTATTTGTTTTCTACAGGTGAGATGTTCCTAATGCAATGAATATGTACTTTGCAGTTTCATTGGAAGTTTGAGATTTAAAAATAAATATTGGATGAAAATTAATTTTGTTTATAAAAAAATCTTTAAAATCTGCTGTAAATGCAGTAGCACTTAATAAAATTTGACTCTTAAATTTTATATATAAATATTTTCAAATATTTATTTTTACAATTTATAATTAGAAATCAATATTTTGAAATAAAAATAAGTTTTTATTTGAATAATATTATATGTTATTTAATTCTTTAACTCAATTCTTTAACATATTAATTTATTTAGATATTCTTGATACGTATTTATAATAATTTTATATTTTTCGATTAATAACTTAACCAATTATATTTTAACATCACCACAAATATTTAATTTAAATAAATAAATAATTGTTACCGAAATTCGTTTCGATTATTTAAAAAAAAAAAATATTTATTGTGTCTTTACTTTTTCAATAATGGATTCATAACGAATAGATAAAAAATATAAATAAAAAAAAAATATGATAAATTTAAGACACAATTCCATTATATGACTGTTAATAAATAATTAATTGATAACGATAATAATTTATAATGAGAATTATTTGATATATATATATATATGTATATATGTGTGTGTGTGTGTGTGTGTGTGTGTGTGTGTGTGCGTGTGCGCGCGTGTGTGTGTGCGTACATGCGTTTGTATTAACATTAAGAGATCCATATATAAATATTAATTGGAAAATCGTACTTATCATAAGGCCTATTTCCCCATAAGTGTGCGGCACTATTAACACTCCAAGTAATGTTTAGCAAAAGCATGTAACGAACGAACCATTGGGATACAATAGCAATGTACCAACTTTCATTCCAGAGGTACACTGGTATTAAAACCGGTAAGACAAAAGCCAGAAGTAACTTAAGTGGCACGAAGTATCTGTAAGCAAAATTAAGATCAGATTACAATCTGAATAATTAATGGATTTTCAATAGATTTTCATTTGGTAAACATTACGTTAATAATTCCTTTTCAATAGAATATTTATATGAAGTAGCATATTTTAAGTATGCCTATTCTTCATATTAGAACTAATATTCTAATTTTATTATTTTAGCAATCTACTATATAATTATAAATTAGAAAACATTAAAATTTTTATATTTAAAGATCATATATTTTTCTTCATATGTTTACCTTCAGTTTCTATAATAGTGCAAAATTTATCAATTAAGAACATTAAATAATGCACACTTTAAACTTTATGACGTTGAAGATAAATTTAGTATATTTAGTTGTAAAAGTAGTAGTAAAAATAAAAAGTAGTAGTAAAAGTAAAAAAAGTAGTTTGAAAAGTGTAGAATTAACAATCATTTCGACTTTAATATTTTAAATTAATATAAATGTTTCTTACTTTTCGGCAAAAGCAGAAACAGGATCAGCAAGGACATCACTCATATCAATTTCTCTTCCCTTCCTGATAACTTCAGAGTGCTTTCGTAACATCAACCAACCTACGTGTGCAAAAAAGAAGCCTCGATTGCTATTATGAGGATCCGCATCAGTTTCAGAAAATTTATGGTGTACTCGATGATCGCGAACCCAATCATAAATACTATTCTGCAACAACCACGTTCGCGATAAAAAAATTTGCGTTTTTTTTATTCTTTAGTAACCTTTATTATTGTTTTAAAAGATAAATGCTCATGTAAACAATTATTTTATAACATTGCCTTATTGTCAGCTTAATCACAATTAAAAAAATTATTTTATTTATAGTGTTAAAAAGTATCAATTATATAGTGTGCTTTATGTATAAGTTATTTGTGAGAATTAAAAATCAAACAGCAAGTTTCGTAATTAAATTTTTCGTGTTTATATTCGAATATATTAATTTAGAGCATATTATTTTTATTTTGAAATAAATTATATTTCCAGCATATTATAAAAAATGTATAGTCTATTTTAATATATTTATAGTTTATTAATAATTAGAAAGGATCTAAATGTAATATTTATTTAATTATTTAATAAATCATTATGATTCACGTTTTTAAGATATTTTTAATAATGAAACAAAATATAACGTAACGTGTAAATTATAATATTTTGAAGATATCTTTCTCAAACAATATAAAAATTTACAAATACATAGAACAAAAAAACTAAATATGTTTAAAAGTTTATCAAACGTTAATGTTATTTAAAATATTATTTTTACCTGTCCAGCTGAGCAATAGCAAACCATTAATAGTATACGAAATGGTACAGTCGCTTTATATGATCGATGGGTCCAATATCGATGTGCACCTCCTGTTACGCCAAATCCTCCTACCATACCCATTAAATAACCTAAATTACAATAGCATTTTATAAATAATATGTATAAGAAACAATTTCAAAATTAAATAGTCAATGGCATTGAAACATATATTCTCATTCTAGGATTTAAAAATGACAAGTAATATGATTAGTGAATCAGTAATTGACGATTATGAATCATAGTTGAATATTTGTTTTTAAATATATTTGTTCTACAATGATTTTTAATGGGCCTGAAATTTAAAATTATAATTTTATTTTGTTTTTATTTTGAATTTATTGATTTTATTGTGCGTTATAATTTGTCACGAAAAAAATTAAATATGTATATATGTATATATTTTATTTTATTTTTTTCGTGACAAATTATAAAGCACAATAAAATCGTTATTTTCATCCGTATGTTATTTATAATTCTTTGAAATAATTTATTTGGTGCATTATGCTTAAACGAACGTAAAATTACTTTTAATAAAATTTTATTTCGAAATAATGGAAGCAAGCGACTCCATATATTCATTATAAGTTGCTGCATTTAACAATGACTATTAAATTATTTAGCAAGACGAGTTTTCAATAACAGTGTAGAAATGAGAAAAATATCGCTTACTTACCCCATACAAATGCCTTCCAATGCTGCATATAAGAAAACGTTAATATATGATATACACCAAAGATATGTAGCATAGTTATTGCAATTGCATTTTTCCATATGATTTCAGTTTCAAATCGGAACACACCGTTTTTCATATAAATCTTGTTAGCTATACCTAATCGCTTATTAAGAGCTTTTGTTTCAGCAACAATCTTTGCTTGCAATTCTTTAGGACACTCTAAATGTGCCTGGTCTACTTCACATTGTTTTTGATGGCATTGGTTTGTACTTGACACGTTCGGTGGCATATTTCAATTGTGAAAAATCTAATTATTTTCGTTTCAATAATATAACTAGTATTATATAGTATATATGCAGTATATTTTTTAATTAAGTTGTTGACTTTTCTCTTCAAAATTGTTAATTGCTATGGAAATAGCTCACTGAAAAAATGTTGCGTTTCTTTTCAAGTTTTAATACAAAATTTACTTTCATTGATCAAAGGCTGCATGAAAATAGCCGACGAACGCGTACGGCGTAAAAGTTTGTACATAATTTTCGTATGGTATGTGTAAACTTACTCATGAACAATAATACAGAAAAAAATTTATATATATATATATATATATATATATATATATATATATATATATATATATATGTTGTCTGCAGTCCGGAAGGATAAAAATATTGTTTAGGCTTACTCGTTCGTATTTGCGTCAGAAAAAAAGCAAAATGAAAAGGTAAACAATGGAAACAAACTAATAATGGAGATGGTTAAAGTAGTATAAATTATAACAAAGATTAAAGGAAAGCGGAAGTGAAACGTATTGATGAATAAATATTACTTTTACATTTATTTTTCATTGACACAGTAACTTCACATAACACTGTCTTTGGTGAACTGACGAACACCTCGGCATGCCTCCACGTCTGATAAATTTTGTAAAATGTCTTATCAGCACATTACTGTCCTCGAAAAAGAATCGTTCGATTTTATTACCTGCACTACTAAGTGTCCCTGTCATCAGGGGAAACGGAACTCGCAAAAACGACACTTCACTTCATTCTTGACTATACGATAGTGTTACAAATCTTCTATTATGCTTTATTGATTATTATTTATCAATATTTAAGAAATAACATATGTATCTGTCTTTTTAAAAACTATTATTGAACATCTATAATTTAAAAGTTTGAAAGATATTTTAATTAAAATAATCGTGAATTGAATAATAAATTATACCGTAATGGCGATTTGTTTTTAATAAAATTTACTATACATTTTGTAAAATAATACTTAGTCAAAATAGATAAATTTGTCCTATTATGATTTACACATATTCTATTTAGGAAATTATTTCTATTTCAGTTTGGATTTGTAGTCATTACGCGATTTATTTTAATGTCTAAAATAAATTTTTAAAGATTTTAATGTAGATCTCAATAATTTAATAGAAATTATGATTCATTTTCATAATAAACAATGAGCATTTATTGTTTTACTAAATAATGAAAATTAATGATATAATTAATAATAATAAACCGTTGAGCATTAATAATTGCGATTATATTTAATTTTAGTAGAACAATTATTTTTTATCTTTTTTTTTCAACATTATTAACTTTTAACACTAATCTATTAAATAGTATATTAACAAATAACTTGTTTATGATATTTTTTAAATATCTATATTGAGACATTTTACAGCCTATTATATATAAAATAAAAATTAAGATAATGTATTAAGTAATACAAAAATATATAAAAAGATATAATATCTAAATATATATCTATATTATTAAAGGTTCATAAAATCAATTATTTCTTACACTTTTTTTTTTAATTTACCACGATTATTGATATAATTTTTAGTGTTCATAAAATAGCTGTTTTAATGATAAAAAATTTCATTTCTTTAATTTCATTTGAAGAACGGACCGCAAGAGTTATCCTACAAACTAAAATTATTTCTTATCAATCTAGATTTCAAATTAGGAAGGTTATTAAATAAAAAATCTAATGTTATTAGTTTGTTAAATTTTAATCATTAAAGATGAGCTCTGGTAAATAAATTTTGATATTTGGGATATAAAAGGTAAAAGGTAAAATATAAATTGTAATTCTAACGTTTACATAATTTTCTACATAATACTATTGTATTTTTTAAAAAGATATTTAAGTACAGAATACTTATTTTTACGAGTATTTGTACAAATAAATACACATATTTATATGCACATAAATAATTATTAATAATTTAATTATGTTAATAATTTAAACGAATAAATTTTTTTTAGACTTAATATCAAAAATATTTAATGTATAGATTTGCTTGAACAATTATGAAAAAGTAAACAAGATAATTTCATTACATTCTAATTACTAGTATTTGTGTATTTTAATTATTTTCAAGAATTTTATACACAAAATTTACATTTATAAAATTATTAACAGGTATCAAGAGTAATTTTGCATATAATTTTATGGTATTATATTTGATGCTACTAGAAAAAATTTAAGTACTCATAAATTACATATTGTGTTAATTTTATAAAATTATTGCAAACAAACTAATTTTAATGTAATTTATTTTTAGTTTTCAATAATAATCGATATCTGAAAAAATCAATAAAAATATTGAAATTGAGAGGCTCGACTTTATTGTGATTTATTGTCGACATTTGTTAAAATCATTTGCTTATAAATATATTTGCTTTAGTAATATCTACTATTAAAGCGTTGCTATAATTTTAAAATCTTGCAACATATACAGGGTCGATGAACGGTTACGATTTTCAATAAAAGTTCAAAGTATATTAATATACTTACTTGTACTAAATTAATAATATTAAAAGATAACTTTGTATATCAAATAATGTTGTTTATTACATTATTATGAAACCTGTATTAATATAAATCAATTCTAAAAGTAATAATAAAAGTAATATATTTTCAGTTAACGTATACTATTATTATATATATTTATATATACTCTACATATATATATATATATATATATATCTGACTAAATGATTTATAATGATTGTGTAAAATATAAAGTAAATTTTATTAATTCTATTTAAATATACATACATCTCGATGTAAAAATGGGAGGTCAGTATACGCGTTCAAAAGTGAATTTCATGCAACTTCGCTAATGTGTACAACATGCATTTCTCGTAAACAGCGAAAAAGGTGATGACTAGTATTACATATGACTGAATTTTTTATACTCAATCATAGTTTATAAGGCAGGAGTCGTCACCCAATTTGTAATATCATAACATTTTTGGCACCTTTTATTTGGTATTACATTAATATATAAATTTAGATTAATTTCAGTACAATTTTATTTAAACAGAAAACTATTTAAGAGATAAAATATTACATATATATATATATATATATATATATATATACACGATTATAGTATTTTATACAAATATGTTAATTTTTTTTTATCTAATCACGGAACTTTCAATACTTTCAAAATATTAAAAATTCTTATATAATTTATTGTTTAAATAAAAATGAAAAATAGTTATTTAAAATAGTTATCAGTAATTATTGTAAATTTTTTACTTTATGTTCCACATAACAATTTTGAGTGCTGAAAATAAAAATAATTTATAAAAATTTGAAAAAAGTAAGAAAATAATGGATGATATTTTGTATAAATTCTAATTTAATTTTAACATAATAGCAACAATTTTATTTAATATTTTATAGTGCGATATATTTTTATAGATGACAATAATTTTATTAACATTGATTGCGTCTAATTTTTAATTTACCAGCACATTATTATACAGTCTCTCGAATAACTATTCAAATTTAAATTTAATTATATATTCTTAGCAATCATTGATTGGATATTACACAAAAAATATAAAGATCATTTTATTTTTTAAGTACAAAATGTATAGTTTATATATCAATTTATATTCATCTTTATTAAAGTTCGTATGATACATAAATATATTATTATACTAGTATAAAAACTATAAAAAATTATTATTAAATATTATATTATCTAAGAAATAATTATAAAAATAAATTTCTAATCTAAATACATTGAAATATGTCATTGAGTTTTTTTTTCAAAATGTTATTTCCAATATTATTTGTTACTTGTCTACTTCTATATGCGATACTTTTGCAATCTCGGAAGTAAGTACTTTCATCTCTACAAAGAACTGATTCAAGCTCCATGATTTCTCCGTTACTGTTCTTATTATCCCACCAAAACTTCCAATATTTATATAATTTTAATACACCCATTTCTTCTGTCAAATCATAACAACGTTTTTGCAAACTAAAATATGCAGTATTTAGTACAGTCCAATATTATAAATCTTGTTATATTTGGACATTAAATTTTTGTTCAGTTTTTGTTATTATATGAATTAACATTTTATATTCGAGATGAATGTGAGAGCAATTTTTTTTTTTTAATTAGACTCTAAATTAGACGCGAAATTATGTTTATTTTAATTTTATAAAGATTAGTTTTAATTATTATCCATTTATTCAATTTTCATTCTTTATAAGCTTACTATAAATATATAAAGTTTTTAGCTTTCAAAATTATAATACCAACAATATTTTTCTTTTTATAAAGTGAAATCTTATATTACAAATTTCTATAATATTTGATAATAAAAACGGATTTTTTGTTCATTTTTGAAAATAAATTATGTATATAATTAGTAAATATATTATTTTCTAAGAAGAAACATGATTATAATTTTAGATTCATATTATATTTATTTTAGTTGCATATGTACAAAGATATATATGAAGTTAGATCAATGAAAAGTAATAACAATATAAAATGTTCTATTATAAATACATACTGTTTTTCCCATTGAGCATCTACGTTTGTAACAATTAAGTTAGCTTCTGATGTTCCATCAACAATTACTCGTTTACCATGAATATCCCTTATTCCATAACTGAAACATTAATGAATATTTATAATAGTGTGTATTAAATATTACAAAATATAATAATATAATATTTCTAATATACTTGGCAAAAGAATAGTTGCAAATTATTTTAAATAATGATTCAATTTCTACATCGTTTAAATAGTTGATATGTAACATTTTTTTGTGTAAAAATGTTAATGTTTGGTTGATCTACGATTAATAAAGCATTTAACAATTATTATTATTTTTAATATAAGATTCTTATTTATATATAAAACTACGCTGTGATTAATATATACGTAACCTGGTCAACTATCGAAAGACATATTTCACATCTTATGCAAGCAGAATTCAAATTTATGTTAATGGTACATGCATGTGTATTAAAAGAGCAAGGAAAATACTCAATTTTTTTCAAGATACCACAATTTATTAAATTACTACTACTATAATGAAAATCTTTAAGATGATCTGATGATTCTTTATTAGGTAGTTGATAAGAGTTTTTAGAATGCCTTTTTTTTTCGTCTTGTTGTGGTAATTCCAAGGTTTTAATTTGTAAAGTCAAAACTATAATCAGCAAAATGTGCAATATTGAAATACTTCCATGCAACATTTTACACGAATTTATGCAATAATTTGAAGGTTAAAATTACAATGTCAAATATTTTAAATAAACAATATATCTATAAGAATATTATGAAGAACTACAGTCAAGTTTATTTGTATATAATTATAAATATGAATAATATATATTTCTAATATATTATCTTTAATAAAAACAAAATAAACTTATATATAATATATAATTATAAGAAATAATTAATAATATAATAAATTTAAATTGTACACATAAAAAAAATATTAAAAAAGAAAATTGATTAAATCAATTTATTATTAATCACATTATAGTGCATTTATTTTGAAAATATTATGTATTTAATTTTTTATAACATATTATTTTTATTTTAATCTATGACCTTGTTTTATCATTTAGTCATCATTTATTCAATGTATTTATTGTAATTATCATTAAAGTTACAGTGTTATCATAAATAATAGTAATTTTATTTGTAGAAATATCTTTATAATAAATATAGTAATTGTATATTATAATTACTATAACAATTATGGAAAGAAAGAATAGATTATTAATATAGTTATTTATGTTATTTGATTTCATATTTTAAAATGAATAATATTTTAACAAATTCTTGAATATGTCTATTATATTATCATTGTTTTAGAACACATTTTTAAAAATCATATTTGTATACACTTAATTTTGATCAATTCATACGTATGGACTTTTTTTAATTTTCAATTATATTTATTTATTACAAAAAGAATTAATTTTATTTTATAATACAATAAAAAGTTAAAATTAAATATGTATTCAATTTTATTTATAATATAAAATCATTAGTTTCAAAATAAGTTTTATATTGTAAATATTTTGAAAATAAATTACTTAATTAATTGAAATTAAATTAGTTTACATAAGCTTGTCATTTTTAATTTAAACTAAAAAATGTTAAAGATTGAAATTCCTATTATTCTTAAAACTATATACTATTTTTTATTATAAATATTAATAGTGTAAATATTGTATAAAATATATTATATAAATATATATTATATTCTGTGATTTAAAAAATAGTCCATACTTTCTTTAATAATGATTTAAATTAATAATTGTTTAAATTCAATAAAACTTTACTTTACACAAAATTAAATTTACTTTTTGTTTCAAATATATATCATAACTTGTTAATATTTTTATGAATACTTCAAGTAGTTTATAAGTTAATATTATGCATTAAAAATTTTAAAATAAATTAATTTATTCACTGATTTATTTATCCCTAAAAATGACTATGGTTTAAATGATATATCTAAATTCATCTATCTTCATATTTTTCCATGGGATGCTGGGGTGGAGGAGAGTCATCCGAAGAATATGCATTAAAAGAAGAATCTTGCATTAAAAACTGTAAGAGAATGTGTAATATTTGTTCGAATATGGTAACATATATATTATTTTATTTATCAACTGATCTATTGAATTAAATATTTATTAATCATAATTTACCTCAGAGTTTTCAAATGATACAAAATTCCATCGTAATTCTTCTTACATTATATTCGTTTATAATTTTGATGAAAATATATAAATATTGGTAATGATCAATCTTTTTTTTTCTTGATTATAATTACTTTATTCAGATTGGAGTTAATCATATATTAATATTCATTTTAAAAAAGCGTAGTAAGATTATTGTTCTTATATTAAAGGTTCATTATATATTAATAAAGTACATGATCTATTTTTCCATAAATGTAATTTATTTTAGTTATGCAATAAACCATTTTTAATGAATAATTTAATTCATTTCACAGTTAAATTAAATTTTTTTTTTTTTAATTATTATATATATTACTTATCAAGATAGAAAAATTAATTTTATTTGTTGAATGTTTTCAACGTCGAGTAAATAGTCAAGCAAAAATACGATAGTATATAAATAAGTAAATGTTTTAGGGTTTAAATTACAAAAAATGGCAATGGAATGTATATTACTACTGTATTATATCATTTTCATTTTTTCATTCCAATTGATTAAATTGATATTCTAATAATAAAATTTGATGATCTAATGACAGATATACAAATTTAGATATCTTATTAAATAAATATTAATTTTCTTTAAAGCTATTTAAATAAATGTTTAAAACCAAATGTTATAATTTCATTGTGAAATATTTGAGTTTTTGAATAATCTTAAGTTATAATAAACGAAGTTTTTTTGTATAAAACACTGCTTAAAATATGAAAAATGGTGTTAAATTACAACAAACATTTTATTCTAATAATTTTTAAGAATATACAAATTATAAATTTAAAAATTAGGTAAATACCATTAAAATTTGCATCAATTTTAAAAATTATAAACACCAAAATCATCAATAATACATTGATTATATCTTTAACGTACATTCTCATTTATATTAAAAACAATATAATTATGTATGCGGATAATATACACATAGTTTTGTGTCATGAAATGTACAAATACAAATTATAAATGAAAAACTAACAAGTTTTATATGTTTTGGTAAATTGTTAATAACTTTAATTTATTTTTAAGTGTCAAGATAGAGTAAATTAAGTATAGCGTAATAAATAAATAAAATTAATATTAATTTTAAAAATTATTAGAGTTGAAACTTTATATCCAAAATATCTTTGAATTTAATTATATCTTTTGAAATTAAATATTTTAAATAAAATTTATACCAATTAAGATAATTCGAGTAAACTATCTACTATCTGCTCCTGATATTTTCCTTATAACTTCCAGACACTTGATAGTAAGTAATATTTCAAATATTTTCTGCGCATGTCATTTTTTAACCCAACCTAACCATTAAATACGAAAACTATTAGTTCAGTGAATTATCCAGTGGATAACTAGGGATTGTTTACCAAATAATATATTCATTATTATAGATAATAATTTATGCAAAAGTTCAATAATAAGCTTTTCAAATAATTTGAAGGCACTTTGTCATAAATATATATATATATATATATATATATATACACACCTGAAATTTAAAATGAAAATGCACTGATTTTGATATAAAATAAATGGAACCTTTCACCAATAATGTAAATGCCATTACAAACGTTTTAACGAAACCTAATATTTTTATTATTTATTGTAAATAATTAAAATAAGTTACCAATATAAAAGTTGGTTTCTGAATAAAAATGATTAAAATTTATTCATGACAATTGGAATTTATTAGTGATTTATAATATTTATTTAATTTTTAAAATGGATTCAATTCGATTTAAGAAAGAAATTCAAGATATCAAAGACTATGCAAATAAAAATAATGTTCCTGAAGAGCAGGTTCATAAAGTATTTAAAGAGTGTTTTCATTTATTGAAGGTTAAAACTTCAACAAGAATAACAATTGCTCTAAAATTATTAAAATTTTGTAGTATAATTTTATTAATTATAATTTCAAGTGTTTTTGTATTATACAACCATCCAAAAACGCACAATATACTTTTAAGAAATTTACAAAATTTTATATATCCAGGCTTAAGAATTTTCAGAAAACTTGCAGTACCTATTATATCGGCATATCCATCATTAACAGGTTATTAAAAATGTATTTCAAATAAAAAAAAGTAGTATCAATAATAGAATCATTTTATTAATTTGATAATCAATGTATTAAAATTAAAAAATTACCCTGTTAAATATCATCCTATAAATATATTTTATAAAGTAGTTACTCGCTATGTTATACATTCTAATATTATGTATTTAAAAATATTAAATTTGATGGAACAAATTATATATAATTTTTATAAAATTTTATAATATATAAAAAATATTATATATAAATTTTACATTTAAATTAAAATGTTTTTTTATTAATTTTAGGTTGGTACGATGAATGGTGTCTCGTTGAAAATCCATATTTTCAAGTAAATGAAATGGATTGTTGGCCTTGTAGTTCAGTAAATACAGTACAAGATTTAACAAATTATAATATAACTCCAGGATTTAATACTGCTATACCATTTACAAGGCTTGAAAAAACTGAAATAATTGATTTAAACAAATTGTTTGAAACTTATATAAAACACCAACATCTTTTCAATAAGCAAGCCGAACAAGTAATATCAAATCAACCATATTATAGGTAATTTTTATATTAAAAATGAAAAATTTTAAATATTAAAACTTCTTTATATTCATGTTGTTTAATTTACAAATTAGAAGATGCTATTCTATTTTTAATTAGTAATTTAAAAGTGATTAATTATTTTATTTCAATTTCATAATCATTTAAAAAAATTTAAATAATAATTATGAAAACTAATTTTTAATGCAATTTGATATACAGTTTTACTAATTGAATTCTGATATATTTGTTTCTGCAAAAAGAAAATAAGTAATAAAAATAATTAATACAAATTTTAATAAGAATTGTTTATGCTAAATATTAAAACATAATTAATATTTCAGGACAATACATGATGTAATGAACGAAAAATTTAGTACATTTTCTAAAGGAAATACACATATTGAATGGAAAGTTAATCGTATGGAACCTGGCAGAAAATTACGAAAATTGTTTCCTAAACTTCCTGGAATACCAGATTGGTGGAGTCCAAGTACAGATAAATTTATTTTGATCGATGAACCAAAAGCTACAACTTATAATTTGGTAAAATTAATTAAACATAACTATTGCATAATAACCAATATAAATAATATTTTTTAAATGTCTTTAATGATTTTTTGTAAATTACTTCACATTTATTGAGAATATCTTTATAAATTACTGAACAAATCATTAAGCTTTTGACTAAAATTCAATTTAATTCACTTTTAAATTTAAAAATAAAAAAAATTAATGCAATTTATTAATTATAAACTAAGTTTTCATTGTTAATTAGATAAATGTAAATGTATTTTCTATTCAGCCAAATCCAGAATGTGCTAATATAATAATACAATGTACAAATGGAGAAAGAATAATACAATTAAATCCAAGTCCAGAATGTACTAAAAATTGCCAAAACATAAGTATTCTATTAACAGCTCATCAAAGTTGTAAGTTGTATTATATATGTAAAAACTAGTTGGATGTAATAACCAAATAATTTATTAATTTGAATAATTTTTTATTTTATTGTTAACATAATTGTAATCTTTTAGTGTGGTACAATTGGTGGTACTGGCGTCCAATAAGTCTTCCTTCACACAATACCACGAAAATAACAATGATGTATCTTACGTCATTTTGCTAATCAATCTTATTTAAATGATTAAAACAACAAATACTAATAATGTATATAATTATAATTTTAGTATGACCATAATTAATTCTAAATACTTATATATTTATATACTTTATTATATAGATTGTATAAATTATATACTGTATTAATATATAAATATCCCATTTGTTGAAAGTTTCATTGATTTAATAAAACCCTAACACATTTTTTAATTTATGTATTCTTTTATTTATAATTTATGTACTCATAATATTTAGAGGTAAACATTTTGCCTTTGTATTTTAATATTCATTATTCCTCTTTGTTATACGATTAGTATTTTTAATTTTATAATTAAATAAATTTTTATTATATGATTAATTTTTGATAAATATGTATATATATATATTAATAAAAATAACAAACTTATATACAGCGTATATATGTTTCAATGTAAAAATCATGTATATAAAATTATAGAATTTTTTAAAAATATTTTTCTAGTGTTACAAAAGTATATTGTAATATTTTCTTTGAAATTATATTTAACCTTTATTAAATATCTTATTATAAAATATATTTAAATATAAATTTGTCAAAGAATTTTTACTGTATTAGAAAATGGTAATGTGATAATTGATGGAATAAAGAAACAGAATGTAATCAATAAAACATAACTTTCTTAATATTCTGTTATAAAATATTAATTTTTTACAATATGATACTCAAATGAATTTATTTATCAATTAATATAATGAAATTAAGTATAAACGAACATGTTTAAAAGTAAAATTGTTATTACATTCTTCTTATGGAATATTGTTAATTTTAATTTTTAGTATTAATCCTGATTTCAAAATCAATTTTATATTGTATTTTATACATATAAAACTAATGAAATAAGCATTAACACAAATGAAATTAATTTTTCACTAATTATTTTTAAAACTATTTTTTTAAAGCAGTATTTATTCTTGCATTCTTTTTTACAGTTGAGTACAATTAAATTTTTCAATCAATATTTAGTTTCTGAATTAATTTAAAGATTTTTATTTATTGGTTTTGTCTTATTTAAATACAATTTTTTAATACTTATTTCTTCTAATCGTATTATAACATTTTTTTTTTTAAAGTAGACTTACATATATTGTTTATGATAAAAATGTATAATTTTAATTTTCAATTATATTATTATGTAACTCATACAAATTATTACAGATAATTCTATTAACATGAAAAAATGTTTTGTATAAGTATATTAATAAGCTTTTGAAAAAATTGTATTTTTTTTTTTTTTTTTTTTTTTAGACGTTTGAATCAATCAAAAAGTTTACATTATTTATATAATCATTTAATAAGTATTAACGTATTACTGAAAATATTTATGAATTGTACTAATATACAATAATAGATTTATTGTAAATATTTATAAATTAATATATTTATACATTTAAAAATTAGAAATCCTTTTGATAATTCTGTTATTTGAACAATTAAATAATTATACAATGATAATTTAAATAAAGAGTACTTTAATTAATTGCATATAATTTTATATTGAAGTTCAAATTAGCATTTATAATTGTTTCTATTAATGATTTTGGTTCATATTAACGAAAACGCTATTTGTAAGATTAAAAAAAAAATTATACATACAATATAAGATCAATAAACACCTAAATGTAATTTATTTATAAATAATTTTAAAATTTTTATACTTCATGTTTTTTTGTATATTATACATATACACACACACACACACACATATATATATATATATATATATGTATAAATATTCACAATCCATATTTAGAAAATTCACTGAAATCTATAAATTTTATGTACAAAATTCAATATTTTAGTATATTCATAGGACTACTGACTATAAGTTATTTAAAAGTGCATAAAAATAATAAAATAAGATTTTATTACATCATTAACATTTTGTCATTTTATAAATTTTATGAATATTTACCTGAATATGCATTTTAACATTACTCTTTCATTACAATGATTTACAATTTTTATTTAAAAAATGAAAATGAAATATTAAATAAACGTTTTTAGCAATTCTTAATACTGTTAAGATAAAAGTAGCAATAACTCATTTTGTTTTATAAATAAAATATGTATGAATTCTGTTAAAAATTGTTATTATTTATTTACAATAATAATCCAAGCTGTTCAGAGAATCATTGTTAATTGAAAAATTATTAAAAGAATTTTTTAATACTAATTAAATATATTTATGAACAGTTCTTTGTCAATAATCAAGAATATTATTTAAAAAATTTTTTAATTTATTCGAATTTTTCCCTAAGTTTGCTCCTAAATACAACAGGTACGAGGGAGAGCAATGCAAAGATAAATAATAAAATTAAGCTATTCCATGAAAATGCATCGCTAGATGAAGTCAACTTATTTAAAGTCTGTCCAGCTTGTATAGCAACAAATGAGGGAGGTGCAACACCTAAAAATGTTCCTATTGTGAATGGCAACATAGGTACTCCAACTACTGGACTTGCCAAATTTATAAACCAGTTTGGTAATAACGGGGTAATTCGTAAGAATAAGATATAATTTAATAAATTATCCTTATGCTTGGTCACGGTTTCGGCCCAAATTTTTGCTTTCTCTGGGAAATATTTGTGTACTAATTTCTTTCCAACCAAGGAAGAAAGTAGATAACAAAGAGAAGCTCCAATTGCACTACAAGTACAAACCAGTGTAAGAGCTAATGTAAAAGGAAAGAGAAATCCGGAGAGTATCGATAAAAAAATTGATCCAGGAATAGCAAACGTTTGTAAACTATTGTAATTATTTAAGGAAAAAATATTTAAATATAACCTAATATTATAATTGCATAGAACATGAAAAGGATACAAAATATATGTTACAAATAGTCCAGTTAAAACTTGAATGTAATATAAATCTTTGTATGATTCTAATAGTTTTCCAAGATTCTTAGCATCTTGAATATCAAGTGGTAATTTTATATATTGTTTTTCATCTCTGAAAAATAGTTATTAAAATTTGTTTGAGTACAAAGTATTAAAACAATACTTTGTAGTCTTGGTATTTTGTACAAAAATTTTTATTAACATATAAATAAATTATTTGCAAGAGACATAACTTACTCTTGTAGTTCTGGAAAACTCATGTAAACATAAAATAGAGATGCGGATGATAACATGAAAATTAGACCAACGGTTAAAAGGCCTTTTTGAGTTGATATTTTATTTTCCATACCTGTTAAATAAAGAATTTTATTAAAAATTTAAACTGCCTTAAAATAGAAATTAATATTATATTTATTTTAAATTATTTACTATACTTAAGTAATAAGGAACTATTATAAACTTTATTATAATTCATAAAATACTGGTTTCATGGTTCAATTGAATGAAAGAAAAAGGTTGGTAACAGATATAGAAGTTATGTCTATGTTATATCTAGGTTAACCAGTCATCGCTAATAAAAATAAATAATATAAAAATTTGACAGTCAATAATATTATTAGTTTTTGAAATATTTGAAAATAACTAACATTTTATGAGTATAAAGTATTCAAGACAACATAAAATTTAAAACTAAAATGATATGAAAATATTATGCTCAATAAGTACAAGATACAGCCTGGAATAAAGTTTTTAATTTACAATTACCCGGGAAATTCTTGACTTTAACGAATGAATTACTAGTGACACTTGGAAAAGAATTCCTAGTATACTCGGCCTGGCATACCCCAGCAATATCAATCCAAATGATGGTACTTCGTTCAAAAGTACACAATGTTACAAAAGCGCTACCACCGTTCGGAGCGCGAACCATTGTCGACACCATTACTATTTATATAGTTTACTATTTTCTTTTGGAATCCATTATTTTTTATTTGCACAGACAGCTACTGATACCTACCTAATTAGTATTTATAAAAAAAATAGTATTTCTAATTCAGTATACATGCAAATTGAAAAATTAGATAAAATGATAATGTGAAATTTTATATAATTTGTTTCTAAATCTCATTTTAACTAGAAAAAGAAAGTTTGTTATAGATTTTAAAATATTAATTATCATGCGTCTTAAGGAAAACTCAATGTACATAAGTTTGATCAATAGAATTCGAGTAATTACTTAAAGAGAAAAATCAAAATTATAATGTAATTAATTTGAGAATTCGATAATTGCTTTCAAATTTTCAATTACAAAATTATAGAAATAACGTGTACAGTGAAAGTAATAACCAAGTAGTTTGCATAAGTAGGCAATTATATATTAATATGTTTAATGAAACAATTTTTTTTAATTTAAAGCAATATGTACGAATTTATAAAATATTTATTATTTAACAATATTTATGTTGATTGTAGATTTAAATATAATTTTCCTATTTGTTTCTGCAATTATTGACTTTATTAGCGCAAACGTCATTTAGGGATTTGTTACAGACAAGGAAATAATTAACAAAAAAATTACGCTTATATTATGCGTGTGTGTAAGTGCGTAAGTAAAATCAAAATTTTTAAAAATATTTTTTATAGAAAATCACTAATTGAGATGTATGCTATGTGGTAAAAAAAATGCATGTACTAATAAGTTTCTTCTTATGTTGAAGCTCAATATCTCTCATAATCTTAATTATCAAAAACAAATTAAAAAAATTTATATAATTTCATATAAAATAAACTATTTATAACTATATTTCCCACGCATATCTTTGCTGTTATCTTTATTACCATTTCACTGAAAATTCGATAACTTTTTATTCTAGATTCCACATAGTCTTAGTTTACTTACATAATATTAGAGACACTATTGCGAATACTGAATAAAAATGTATTTTTCATGACTATCAGATATTATTAAAATAAATTATGTTCCAAGCAATATCAGTAATATTACTTATAAAACATATTAATAAAAAATTTTAATAATTTAATTTTCTGTTTATAGACATATGATTAATGTTAAATATTTTTTAAAATAATTTATTTCAGTTTTTTTCTATTAATTTAGTTATCAAAATGTAATTATTTTGACAATTCCATCACTCACATTAGTGCTGCCGAACAGTTTTGAAATGTATTGAGATAAATCTATTATATTTTATTTTCTGCAAAATTATTATTATGAATAATGCAATAAACTAAAATAACTGTATTTTATTTTAAGCATTTAAACTTAACTTGTATAGGAGTTAAATAAGAAAATATGATTGTCAATGAAAATGCAATGAAAACTGGAAAATATTTTAATATGTTAAAAATAACTAATGTAACAATGAAGACTGTATAAGCTCGGAAGAAACTCTGATTTTTAATGTATTTTTGCGTGGTTTTACTTTTACTACTCATCCTTCTTTTTCCTCATCTTCAATAAGATAAAATATAGAAAAACTATTTTTTTTATGTATCAATGTACATGACATTAAGTCAAACATAAAATTGATAAAAAGAATCAAATAAAAATTGGTTTCTATAACTCTGAACATTATCCGATAGATTAAATATAAAGTTGTAAATATAATGCTATTTAATTCAAAATAAGTATTTTCTATCACTACAACAAAATAATCCAACAAAAATCTATTGAATAAAATAACACAAAAATATTTAATAATGTAAGAATAAAATTGAAATGTTAAATAATAATTTTTGCTAATTTTAGTGATAACTTAATATAATTATTGTAAAACATATCAATATCAATATATAATTTATATATTTTTACGATTTTAAAAATAACAGTAAACTTAGAAATATATATAAAATATTGATGATGTGTATTAATGATCACTGGTAAATATGTCAGAATATGTAGTGGCCATAATTAATTTCATATTTCAACACACGTGAAAACAAATAAAGAAACAAACACCAACAAACGATCAAACAAACAAACATACAGATATTCACCAAATGATATATATATATATATATATATATATATGATTTTATATATTTATTGTATAATACATTTTATAATAAATTTTATATTTTATAACAGGCTAATATATATTATAAAAAGATTTATAAATTTGAAAAACCATTTACATAGTTAGTACAATTGAGTAAATGTTTTTCTCTTATATTTCATTATATTATCGATATCAAATTTACTTTTCTTTTATTCATATTTGAACTCTCTTAGCTATTTTTATTTATATTTTGTAATTCATAATTTCTTTATAATTTTTATGATTGTATATGTTCTTACTGAAATATAATTTCTATTAATACTTATATAAAGTGTTTAGTAATTATAGTAATTTAAATAGCCAATATTATTAACTCAAAATAATTGCTTTTTAAAATTTTGGTAAGATAATCTGAAATAATAAGACTTGGTAAGCTTTTTTATACGTAAGATTTAATATTACATCAGAATTGTCAGGCGATACTTGTACAATTCTCACACGTACTCAAATTTTATTAGATTACCTTTCTTATCTCGTAATAATATATTTCTTGAGCTTCTTAGACATAGCTAAAATATTATAAAATTTTTCAACTTACTTATAGAATTAATAGTATAATATATAATGAAGACATTAAAAAATGATTGAAAATATTTCAATATAATTAAAATAAAAAAATTTATATTTAATTCTCACATTTATCAAAATGGATATACGTAATACTTAATTATGTAACAAATACATATTTTCATTAATTATTCAGGCTTAGATAGTGTAAATAATTAAGTCATTTCAAAGATCAGGTAATTCATACAAAATAAAATAAATTATTTAAAGCATTCTTATATGCATTTTTGTTAAATCGAATTTTCGTTTAATTTGGTAATTTTTCTCTATTTTTGTTTAATAAACGCTCGTATATTTATTTCAAATGTTCGTTATTTTGTTAATGTTTATATAAAGAATTATAGTAACATTAGAATTGATAATGAATTATATTTATTATAGATATGAATTAATTATCTAAAATAATATGAGACAAAATAAAAAAAATATTTATCTCACGTTTACGAATAATTTATTTTATTGAACAAAAAATTTATAATTAATATAAAAAAATACTTTTTACTCTTCAATTATAAAAAGCTAATATAATAAAAAAAAATTTTTTAAGTTGATTAAAGAAATAAAAGAAAAATTTAATTTCTCTAAAGTTTATTTATTATTTTAAGTACAAAACGTGATTTTAATTTATAATTCGGTAATTTCTATAAGTACATTTTATTAAAAAATATTATAATAGTTGATTATGGCATAAAAATATTTTTTATCTAAGTATTTATATGCTCTCAATAAATTGAGCCATACAAACATTATTATAATATTTCATTTTAAATATTACATTTTATTAAAATCTTATAGCGTATCAAACCAAATATTTGAAAATAATTGTGCAGAATGATATGTGTAATTGATTTAAATAGCATGAAATTTAAAATCAAATTTGTATGATAACATATATAACAGTTACGTTAATGAAAAATTACGAAAAAATTTTTTAAGCATATCATAAACAAGAACGAATAAAATGATAACTAATTTAAATTATTCAACAAATGTGAAAAATAATGTGTTAAAATTAAATTATTTGTTCGATCTATTAAGCTCTAATATAATCTATTAAATTTTATTGGATCGATTAAGCTCTAATGTAAATATTTAAATGTGTTATATTATGTAATTTATAAAACCTTTTTTAAATATTCATACTTTAAAAACAAAAAGTTTGATAAAAATATGTTACATTTTAGTTTGAATATTTCGTAAAAATTATCTAAATACTGATAAAACTATCTATAAGTTTCAAATAAAAACATGTTACTTTTATTATTATGCCTATATAGTTTAATTTTTATTAAATATGAAACATATTTTGTTTATTTAATAAGATTTTTTATTCATTAAAATATATTTTATTCGTATTATGTTAGAAGTAATTAAGAACTTTTTTATACTATCTCTCTATCAATAACAAGGTTTTTTTTATTTTAATACGTGTGAAATATAAAAGGCACCTCATGCATTCAATATGTATTAATGATTTATTTTTCACTTCTGTGTTCTATTTTTTGAGTATCCCTATTCTTGTAATACATCGAATAGTAGTGAATAATTCGTAATAATAGTACATATAATACATTAATGTTTTTCAAATTCTACTGGAAGGTAGGTACATTAAAATAGAATATTGCTCATAAATATTTGCTGTACATATTTTTTTTATTAATTATAGTTTACTCAACTATAAGTATTTAAGTATATACTTTATTCTTGTTGTGTTTGTGTTCATTGGGTGTGTGTGCGTGCGTGTGTATGTGTGAGAGCGCGCGCGCGCGCGCTCGCATGTGCATATATGCATGAGTGTGTGAACGCATGTACTCTCGAATGACACACTCGCATTCATTTCGTGTAATTTGAAAATATTACAAATTTATCATAGAAATAAAAATATATATTATAAAATAAATCACATGATTTTTATCAAATTAACAGAAATAAAATTATAAATAGTCGTTCTAACAAATCATCAAAATTACAAATAAAATTAAAAAGGATTAGAAAAATTTATGGAAAATTAGGGTGTTCAAATTTAGATATGAAAACGTTAGTCATACCACTTTTTGATTTTTGTACTTATATACATAATTATTATGTATTTAGCATTTTTATACCTATTACACCATAATAACATGAATAATATTTTTCTTCTTTATATAAATTATTAAATACATTGGACTCTTATTCCATTACAAATGGATAGATAGAGTGCATTTTTTTCTTTCATCATATTTTCGTACATTAGGGTATTGTATCCTATATATCTTCTAATTTGTAAACTATTTTTTCGATTCTCGATTTTTCTTTGTAAGCACGATCACAGTATAAGGCATATTTCTACATTCTGGTCCTATATTAAAAACACTGTGCAAGGCTTATTCGTCAAGTGAAATCTTTGATTCCCAATGTTTATTTATAAGTTTTTAAATTAATATTTATTGTTCGCTGAAATATATTAAAGCTTTCAAAACTTAAAAATATAAGAATTATTTTTCAATTTCAGTACGTTTATTTCTTGGAATGCTCAGAAAGAACTATTACCATATTCTCTTGCCTTTTTGTTATAGTGTTTAGTGGCTTATATGGCTTTATAAAAATACTACATCAAAAGCAGCAATAGTGCATAACTGATTTAAGAATGCATTAATTTAAATTTTATTTCAATGATTTAATTAAACATGCCGATAAAAACGTTTGATAATCATAAGTAGCTGATAAGAAAAATTGGAAATACTCTTTTTAATGTAAACTGTATTACCCATAGACTTTCAATAATTGAAATTTACACGACTACTTTGTCTGTTAATAGTTGATAATATATGAAAAACTTTTGATCTAAATATTAAATAATATAAGTATGCATACAATAAAACAAAGTGAATCAATTACCAATGATGTGAATTAGGCACTTTTATAAGCACTTTACACTCTTGGATCGATCAAAATCTTTGTTTATATTTTCAACTTTAAACAAAAATATGATGAATATACGATTCCTTATATACAATGTTAAACTAAAAAAAATTTGTACATTAATGATGCTTGAACAAAAACATGATAGTCTATTACGCGTACTAATTTACCTGTGCACAATTGTGACAAAGATTTTCTATTTATTACTTTTTGCTCACCATCTTAAAACTTCACTAAGCTTCACTTTTACAATTTAAGAAGCATATTAATTTTAAATTATAGACTAATTTTTAAAGTAAGTAAAGACCATATATTTTTATATATTAATACATAATTTACGTTAAGAAAAAATTTTTGTATTGATTTACATTAAAAAAATTTGTATACAATAAATAATTAATGCGTTAAACTCCAAGAGTTGCATTCTTATATTTAAGTTTCTATTAAATATAATTTTAGAGTTGGAAATGTTTGACAGCGAGATGACACTTAATTTTTTAACCTTTTTAAAAGAAGCACCGTTAACGTTCTTTCTTGTGATATATTATTAATCAAAAATTCAACAAGCGGTAGTTTCATGTTTCTTGGAATGCAAGGCAATAAATTACTTATACACTAAAATAGATCGCAATTAGAATATTAATTAAATATTACTCCATAAAGAACAGTTATCAAATAACTACAACCATTTACATCTGTGAATATGTGTGACAATTTATGATTTTTCATAGCAGATTTCTGCTTTAACAATTAAACGCAAACATTTTATATTCACGTGCAACTTTGCGCATAAAGCGAGTACACACCCACACACATACACGTACATACGCGCGCCCACCCACTTGCGTGCACCATTTCTTTCTTACACACAAAATAATAATGTTCACTTAGTTTTACCTTCTTTCTTTCATTTCTTAATTTTATCTCTGTACAAATATTTATATATAAAATAACTTATCGAATTAGAGGTAAAATGCAGTGTGCTTTTTTACACCCTTTTAGCCGATTTTTGGGATTTCGTTCAAAGCACTTAGATTTCATCAATTACACATTTTCCCATATTGAAATAGATAAAAAGAAACTAAGCTTGACAAATGAAGCTTCTGATAAATATACACAGTATATGCTCAATGACCTCTCTTGGTCCTATTCAAACATTAATGTACTCGATTAGATTTTATTTTTTTCACATCTTTGCAAAAGAAAAATAAAGTGTGTCAACGAACGCCTACTGTTTAAACACGTTATAAGACTTGATGTTCATAGCTACTACAAGTAAGCATCCAAAAATATTTAAAACCGACATTTAGCCACATAAAATTATATTCAATTATTTATTTTCAACTATTTGCTTACCACTTTAATACTAATATTATTCACATAACATTCTAATATCTTCAAATGTATTAAACATATGCATTAATTTTGTTATAACTCAATAATTTTTCTAATTACTTAAATTTTCCCTTAACTGCATTTATATTAACAGAAAATTATTATATATTAAAATTTAAATACTCTATCAAGATATATTTTCTGCTATAATTTTCTGCTATAATGCAGCAATTACGTATATAAATAATTTTTAGTGGAAGCTTCAAGAAGTAGCTGTTGCCTTAAACAGTGTTTTGAATTTTTCAAGCACTCGAGTTACAACAAGTTGCGTGTATATAAGCTAGATAATTCCTATCTACTAAATCCAAATCTATTTTGCCAAGACATGACTTATCATTTGATAAATTTTAAACTATTTTTATAGATGTATATTTAATATATATCTACTCGATTATTTTATAACTAGATGGTTGGAGCTTCGAATAATTCGATCAAGCTCTATGGACGGATCTCGTTTTCACATGGTGACTGTTTGATGGACGAGTTTGCATAAAGGCACGATTTCTCTCGTTATATAATAATTCAGATGAATATAATGGCAAATGCTTATAAAACAAAAATGTTTTTACTTCACAATTTCATTCAAATATGTTTACTTGTAAATATTTTCTTTGTTTGATGCTTGATATAGTATTAGAATTTTATTTCAATAAAATCGAATGCATGTTTATTTATCATAATTGCTTAGAATACGAAGAAAAAATTAATTCTAACAAATTATATAATTTATACTTATAATTCTTTAAAGACTAACATTAAACATTAATAATAACTTAAATGTAAAAAAAAAAGAAAATACAAGAAAAAACAAAAATAAAGAAATCAATTTTCTTAAAACTATAAAATACCTGTATATGCAAACAATATATGATAAAAACAAACTATTTATACAATCAGCCACTCACTCATTTACTCGCCTAACGCACGCATGCACGCGGAAAGACATACATACATAATTTATATTACTTTTTCTAAAAACGAAGAAAACAATGAGCTACATGAAATTGCAACAGATATATAGTATTGTAAGGGTTAAATTCTACTCATAAAAATAGAGTGAATGCTTGGCATATAAAAACATAATCGGATTTGTACTTTAATATACATCGTCATAATGTAAAGAGCATTGCGTAAGTAAATAATTAAACGCACAAACTTTAAATATTTCATATGCACCGATCGCTTAATGTTGAAAACAAATTAATAAATTTTTTTTAATATTCCATTATATAGATTAATAGCTGTAATTTTTTGTATTCCATTAAAATAATTAAAATTATGTCATTACAAGATTTAAACTCTGATAAAAATTAATACATAAATAGATTTTAATATCCTATGCATAATCAGTTCAAACTATTAATATAACTCATGATGTAACAAAAAATAGTTATATTATTAAGTACATTTTACTCTATTATGACAATTAGTTAATAAATATTTTTCGAAATATTTTATTTGCAATTGCTTCTTTGTAAATATTATTTATAAAGTAAAGAAATAATATATTACAGCTATTTAATTTAAAAAATTCGTATCATTTTGAAAATACGAAATATAAGTTTTCGATTTAAAAAAAAAAAAAAAACTTTAATGCGAATTTGTATTATAGTAAACAGAAATTATTATTCACTAATATTAATAATAACAACTTGTTAAAATAGCAGAGGTATTTAAAAACGAAAACAAACTTAAACAAATAAAAATATATCGATTAAACAAAAAATAAAAAAAAAATCCAACAATCTGATGAAAAATGAAAGAAAAATAATATAATGAGAAACAATTAAGCTCGTTATTTATTAATGAACTTGAAAAATTTTCTTAATACTTTACTTTCTTTCTTGTTGATTCCATTCATTAATAAAAAATTCATACGTTTACAAAAAGGCTAACCTACGTGTAAATTAATTATAAATTCTATTGATCACATACAGGTATATTTATACGTAATGTAAATTAAGAATTTGAAAATGAAAGAGAAATTTAATTAAACGAATTTTACGAATATTTTGAAAATAAATTGTGATTTATATACTGCTTTTTAGGATTTTTAATTACTTTTTACTTAATTTTAAACCTAAAAAGTATTTTAAAGAATTAATAAAATATAATTATACTATATATATATATATATATATAGTATATGTAAATATATATAATAAAAATATATATATATATATATATAGTAGTACAATATAAAATATGATTATTACTATGTACTTCTTGAATAAATTGAAATAATTCAAAAATAAAATTTTGCTAAAACAAGAGCATTACAATATTATTTTTCTTTTAGAATTTATCTTTTATATTTTTTATTTAAATTATTAATGAACGTTTATAACTCTAATAAATTATGATTTTATTAATTTATTGATTTCTTTATTTTTAATAATTAAAAAATTAGTTCTCTCATTCTTTGTTTTGAGAAAAAAGTAAAATAACCTGATATAAATGATAAGTAATTTCGATAGAAATGTGTTATATCACTTATAATAACTTTGAAAAATGTTAACGTATTATTTAGTATTTTATGCTAAAATGTATGACTACAAAAGTTTATGCATAATAGTTAAAAATATGTTTTTATCGTTTAACATACATAAAATATTTACAAGTATCCATGTTTCAATTTTTTGTATGAGAGAAATGATAATTTCAGTTCCTATTTTACTAAAAATGAGTACTTTTGGTTATGTAGATATTTACTTGTTTTTTTGTTTTGTTTTTTTTTTGTTTTTTTTTTCTTAAACAATTTATAGTGTGAAAAATATATTAGCTTCAAGTAACATTAAATATATAATTCAATTGAGTGATTGATATTATACGATGTGTTATTGTGTTTAAAACAACCACGTCTTTTTGTTTCTGTATATTGAAATAAAAAAAAAATTTGTTTAGTGTAGCAATCAAATAATTTTCCATTCATTGTATAACAACCGAAAGTCATTAAAGATTTTCAAGATATTAATGTCATAAAGATGATTAACAAAAGAAAGTAACATTATTTTTGTTAAAACAGGATGAAATGATTAATGTAAAAAGTTTTGCCTTTTACTACCATTGCTCATTAATAATAGATAGATGTGCAATCTTGTTTTTGAACTTACTCTATCTATTTTGAGAATATAAATAAGGAAAAAGTGGGCTTATTCTAAAAGCCGAAGCTGTCTATACACATTTGCTTACTGATGACTCTTACTGAGTAAATGTGAATTAAATTGGTAAAGATTGCAACATTGTTCCCCGCATATATTGCATTTCCATGGATTGCTCTCGCTATGGCAACCCTTATGTAAAAAATAAAGAGTTTGGTCTGGGAAAGTTATTCTACAATGACTGCATTGGAGACCACTGTTTCGTGGATCAGGTCTCGTTGATGTGGGTGGTTCACCATGCGAATGAGGATTGCCATTGTTGTTGATACTGTTACTATTGCTGCTGCTATTGTTACCACTATTATTATTTTTGTTGCTGCTATTATTGTTGTTGTTGTTATTGTTGTTAGAACTACTGGAAAGTTTACGGCGCAAGTCGTCGCGAAGCAGGGATTTTAAGGGCGATACCTTGATTAATGACGGTAATGTTAGATTACTGGACGTCGCACCATTTTCTTCCAGCAACCCATTACTATTTGGCTCCTGTTTTATTGGTATCAATGAGATTGAGGGAGTTATGATCTGTTCACCATCCCCAATACTATTTGCATAAAAATTTATAAAATTTAATATTTATTAGTAATATAAATACAGTGAAACAAGATTTCGTATACGATTTACACAAAGTGAGAGAGGTATACCTGTGAGTAGTTGCGATATTTCTCGGTAACTGGTGATGACTACTAGTTGGGGCGTTACTATTACTATCGGCACTTTGCGGACTGTTAGGACTATCTCCGTTTAAGGGTGTTGGACTTGGATTACGCACTGCACTAGTTTGTTCTGGATATGGAATGGATATTTCGACGTGAGGCGTGAGAAAGTGCATAGGAGGCGTTGCATTGTCGGCCGACCGATTACCAGTACTGTCACCGCTATCCGAAAGCGGCGCCGAAGACATGGCCTCACCAGGCGAACAGCTATTCATAAGCGAAGTTGAACTATTCGGGCCAGGGTTGTCGAGATCTATACCATGCCTGAAAATATCAATAATTATCACTTTAAGAAAACATACAATTACTTTGACTTTGAATTAGTTGTTAAATTATATTATCAATAAAATAATTAATACTTGATTTTCGTTAAACTATACTTTTCTCTAAAATTTGGATCCTTTAACATAATCGTATTTAAAACATTTTTTTAAGTACATAATACAATTACATAAAGTATTTCATAATTATGTAGTAACGTGTAAGAGTAATAAGTAAAGTCAAGTTAGAGAAAACCGAAGATACGAATATTAGAAACAAAACTTAAATCAGAATGGTTTATAAATGTTATTTAATTTTAATTTTAAAATAGTAGTAACAACAACATCAACAAAAACAACAATAATTTAACAAGTTAATAATATTATTATTGACTTGGTATATAAATACAAATGAATAAGCACTAAATTAAATCTATCGGTATAAAATACACGATCGTTTAAAATATTGGCAACTCTTTTTCATTAGAATTATAATTGTATTATTTTTTTTTTTATTCGGAATATATTAATATTATTATATACATTATTACTATTATTATTATTATTATTATTATTATTATTATTATTATTATTATTATTATTATTATTATTATTGTTATTGCTTCTCATATTGTATAATATATTTCTAAAAATAATTAATAAGTTAATTTTTTCTTTATAAAATCATACTAACCTATTGAAAAAATGAAGTCTGAGACATTTCATGGTGGAAGCTCTGTAATGGCATAAAGGACAAGATTTGACCATGTCATGCTGTCCAACATGTTCATTTTGAAAATGAGCTCTCATAGCTATTTGTCGTTGAAATCCTCTATTGCAAATTGGACAATGATAAGGCAACGTTTTTGAATGCGTCGTAAAGTGTTCGGCAAGATGATCTTTTCTGAAAAATCGTTTCTGACATACTCGACATTCATATGGTTTTACTCCTGTGTGCCTCATCTACAATTAAAAAGAAGTTATAGCTTTTCCTGTAAAAGCTTTCTTGGAATTTAATAATAACAATATAACGATATTCAATTGTTTTAATTCTTAACAAACTTGTATTGAAATTAAAATACATATAATACTGTTTAAAAATATAGTAGTTAAGAAAATATTAATTTATTTGAAACATTTCGATGTAATAAATGCAATTTTATAAATAAACCATTTTAAAAGTTAGTATACGATTAATATTAATATAGCTATACAAATGTTATATTTTGAATAAATCAACATAAGAATAATATTTAAAATAATATTTTACATTGATATTTAAATTTAGTTATATTGTTAAATATACCTTATGCCTTCTCATATTAGCTCCATTTGAAAATTTCATATTACAAACATCACATTCGAACATTTTTCGATGAGATCTATGACCAGAATGTCCTTCTTCTCCATCCCCATCATTCTCTGGCCCTTCTATACCCTCTGCACTTTCTGGTGTTTCTCCACTTACTAAACATTGATCTTGATGTGCACACAAAGCTGTTTTATTTATAGTTTCATAATTATCACATCGATCACATCTATAAATTATTTTTTCTTATTATAAAGAATACAGTTATTTATATTAATATTAAAGTTAATGAAGTGTAAAAATTGATATGATATTATGGTTATAAAATAAATGTTACATTTTTTCAAATATCTTTCTAGAGCGTTATAAGACTTATAAGAGATTTTGTTAATACATAGATTTAGTTGAAAATACCTAAATACAGGTACGGCTCCGTCGCTACTATCATAATTTGTATTTAAGGCAGTTTCACTATCTGGATCCAAAGCTTCATCTTCTCTATGATTAATTAAGTCACCTGTTTCTGCATTAACAGAGGAATGAGAATCTATCTCGTTTTCCCCACCACCACCGTCAACTCCATCTGACATGATACTAATAGATGATATTACACAAAGTTCTTCATTTAACCTGTAATAGAATAACAAGATTAATTTGTAATCAATGAGTTAATATAAATACCATTTAATTTTTGTAATTTGAATTTTTTTTCTTCTTTTGGTCATTGCAAATGTTTTGAGTCAATTGAAGATATCTTACAGTCCATAATATACTTGAACGTAATTATCAATAGAATATAAAATATATTTAATCTTTTAATTAGATAAGTAGTGTGATACTTTAAATTTATCTGCATAATTTGTGTAATTAAATAAATGTTATAAATTAGAAAATTATTAGAACTAAGAAGCAATACAAATTGTAGCCTACAAAATACAAATCTAACATTTCGCGTTTTTACAACCTAATTTAAAACATACGCTATCCACGAGACGTTGCACATCCAAAATGCAGATGAAGCAGAAAATATAAAATTAGATTAAAAGTAAATGTATATCTCTTCAAAGACGATACGTGATATAAAGAGCCACTTGTTCGATACATATTAGTATTCATGTAAACTTGTACGTTTTACCTGTCACAATTTTACTGCCCAGTGATTTATCCAATACTTTTTTTCTCGCCAGCCAAATAACAAATAGAAAAAAAAACAAGATTATAGCCGTTTCCGAAGTGTCCTTTTTAGCGCGCGCACGTAAGAAAAAGAGAACGAGAGGAGAGCAACGGTATGGGTATTACCCAATCCTGGGAAGATTACGGCATAGAAACACCTGGTGGGTAAGAGAGCGCAATGCCAGAGTGCACTGCACTTTGTCCCAGTTTTCAGCGAATCCGTCAATCGTGACGTAGCTTGCGCGACTTTTCCATGGAGAACAGGCGAACTTCATGTAATAGACAGTAAATACCTAATGTAAGCATGTGTATACAAAGCAGAAAAATGAAATGTGCCTTGTATGCAATTTATAAAATTAAATACTTTTTTAGGTTGCCAAGTTTTCAATTGCGTAAAAACAGTATTTTTTAGTACTTACTGACATACCTTTGACGATTTGCACCTTTACCTCTCTCTCTCTCTCCTTTTTCTCTTGCGTGATTTTTCATTTTTATTTTTTCAGGCGAGAGAGAGAGAGAGAGAGAGAGAGAGAGAGAGAAACAGTACCAAAGAGAGAAAGAGATAATATGAGAGAGAGAGAGAGAGAGAGAGAGAAATACGATGACTTATATCATTCTTTTTTTTTATACTCGAGCGTCGTTCATTTTATAGTACATAAGAATATTATTATTGTCGAGATTACACAAAAGTCAATAGCGACATAATTCTAATCGCTACAAATTCATCGTAAATCGCTAGACTTGACCAATAATACTAATCCTTTTAATACTAATTTTATCTTTTCAATGAAAATTACGAAATTGTAGCAGTGATCGCTCATCCTGTTCATTCCTTAGTATTTCTCACCCTCTTTTTTTATGTACCTGCATGTTTTAACCTATTGATGTAAAACCCAATGGATCCACGTCAAGTGTCTGCTCATCTGCTGCTTCACAAGTATGTTTGGTTCAAGCATGCCAGTATAAGAATCCTTATTATTCCTCTTTTTTCTCCAAATTATGATTATAACATTATGGAATTGTGATTGGCCATTTCGGATAGAAATCAAGTTTTATTGGATAAGTACTTTAGCCTATTGGTGCAAATCCAAACTAGCCCAAGAGCTCGCGTTACATTAGTATTGTACACATTGTGGATGTGTTTTTTATATTCCTCCAAGGTATATCAATACGCGGGGAGATATATATATATATATATATATATATATATATAGATGTGTATATAAATATATATATAGATGTGTATATAAATATATATAGATGTGTATATAAATATATATGCCTATGCGTATGTATAAATATGTGACATTGGTATATATATATATATATATATATATATATATAAATATATTTATGCACACACACATGAGTTCATGCACACATGCGTGCATGGATATTGCGATGTATATATATATATATATATATATATATATACATTAGATTCATTAATCATTTTTTTAAACGTTTTAAAAGTAATATTTTTAAAATATATAATATTATTTCAAATCTAATAATGGTACTTTCAATAATATGTAATGCAATAATAAAAAATTCATTTGATTAACTAATTCGTCCTATAATGTAATAAAAATGTCAAAAAAATTATAATAATTATATATTCTTTAATAAATTAAAAACGTACTTTCATGCAATACATAAAAAATAAAATTATAAATACGTATGATTTAAATACAAAATTTTTAAATTATATCTACAATTAAAATTTGAATAAAATTTTGCAAAATTTAGTGAAAGTTTTTCTTAGATGTACGGGCAACATTAAATTTTAACGAATAAAAACTAAATGCCCGAAGAGAATGTACTCTTTAATTTTCTAACGAGTAATTTCTTTTATAAATAATTTGCTTACATATAGAGATAAACTACCAATGACTGAGGAAAATTACTGAATTAAAAAAAGGAAATTTTATGCTAACGAATTTAGTTAAAATTACGCAGATAAAAAAAATTACTTTTTTGAGGTTTCAAGAGGCAGAAATTTCATAAACTAATATACACAATTGTAACGTATGAAGTAGAAGTTCTTTTAATAGAAATTTTATCGAACTACTTATTGTAAGTAAAGGACATTGATACTAATTGGAATGGTACTTTTTATAAAGAAATAATTTAAAGCGATAATTATATAATTATAGCAACTAAAAATAGTAAATCGAATAACCTATAGTCTTATTTTAGTTTTATTTTTTAATGATCAATACACATAGATAACAAAATTCTACCAATAGTAACACATTACATAACACGGAATATAATGTTTGCAAAATAATTAAAAAAAAATTCTTCTTAAATACATATTTGATACATACATGAAGTTAATTCAATAAAAATGTACAATTTTTCAATATTTAAGATATTTCCATTTCTTATTTTGGCCATTCTATTACAATATCTCTTGATTATGAATGGTGAAACCATACATTTTTGCTTTACGAATAACATTCCATATATTGTAAATAGTGCATGATTAATATTATTAGTAAACTTCATAGTATGTATTAAATAGAAAATCCTGATTTGCCAAAAATCATTTATAATTACATATTTAATTCTTCAATACTGTTAGGAAAATCGATTTCTTTCATTATTTATTTTATTAAATTGCAGTTTTTATTTGAAAAATAACAATTTAGAAAAACATTATCTGTCTTTCATAAATTTCATAAAAACGTTAAGTTATTTATTTTCACAAAAATTGTATAAAACACGTAATTCTTTATAAAATAAAAATAATAAAACAATTATTTTTTAAATACTAAACACTTGCCTCCCTAATACATATAATAATATTATTGTTCATATTGATATACTACAGTATTTATCAGTATATTTTTATTAATTAATTTCTCAACGTAAAAACATAAGAATATAAAATTATAGGTACTAAAATAATTTTTAAATTTTTTATTTATATTAATCAATTTTAAATTCCAATGACAGAGTAATGGAAAATGCCATATTTAAAATTTACAGTTATCAACATATATTTGAATTCTCTACAATATTATTCATTGTTATTCTTATAAGTTCGTTAATAAAAGTTTATGTTTTAATTGCGAAATTTTTGAATTGTTTGAAATATGGCGCTACGAAGGCAACCATATTAAAATTGACAATATGAATACATGACGCCAGGCTAGACGTGGCCTACCATTAGCAAGTATTAACGTTCGCCTCTCTAAGAAAACGTTAAGTATTACTTATGCGTTCATAGGACATTCGGTCATTCGTCATCCGGTCTGTTCAATTCTGGAGTTCGAGGCGAAGTCCGAATAGTAAAACAAGGCATTGTGAACTGAACTGTAGAAGTCGAACCGATCACTGTTCAATGTTTTTTCTTTACAATTGTATGTTTATATTTTAACGTAGTTTCGTTTGTATTTTTCAAAGCATTTTTAGTAAAAATAAGTACAATGATTATTGTATTCAAGGATATGATAATAAGTGGTGATAATTTAATGAAACGAAGGTTGTTTGGTGTCCGTGTTCGAGCTTGAAATGTTGTTTTCATTCCAAAATAATCGACATTCACGAATTATAGTACTTACAGTCTCTGTGAAATAATTAATTTACGTAATATTAATTGTAAGAATTAATATTATTAATAACGATTTATATAGAAACAAAAAGTTATTACAAAATTTCTATAAATTTATTAACATTGTATCAATAAAATGCATAAAATATATCTATGCTTGAAATAAGTAATGCCTCATAGATAATATATTTTTCAAATTCAGTTTATCATTTATTTATTTATTATCATTGAATGTTTTAATTTTATACTCGTGTTTCTAAAACTTATCATTACCATTACATCCGTAATGTCTGCCAGTAATAAATGTTGTTTTTTATAACATTTGAGACACAAATTAATGCAGAATATACAACGCTAAAAAGGTAATTTTATTTTAATTTTCGTATATTCTATTCAATTGTAATCATTCATCTTTTATAAAATTTTGAATATTATATACTTGAATTATTTGAACTTTTTAATTATACATTTTACATAATTTTTGTATTATGCATTCAGATTTTAATGTCAATTTTGTATTGTTTTAATATTCTTATATTTGATTATATCTTTAATACTTTTTACTTTTCTATTTTATAAATGATCGATGAAATTATTGATTTTATTTATATTTATATTTATATTAGACAATATTTGCAATACAAAATTTTAGTTTTCATTTTCTATATAGCAAATAAATATAAAATTTTGTAAAAAAATTATCCATGAATGAATTTTATTGAATATCTGGTAAAATATCTGGAATAGGTACAAAAGGCAATATATATTATATATAATATTATCATGGCTATAATTTATTAAATAAAAATGTAATATATTTATATTATATAATTAAATACCTTTTTATACTATTATGAGTAATTTTATAATCAATTTTTTGACCTTTTGAACGATTTCATGTATACAAAAAAAAATTTTTGCCTTAATTTAGAATCTATTTGCCAAGACAAATACAAATGCGTATAGTTGTAATGAAATTTCGTTTTATCCATCTAATTATTCAGTAATACATAAGTTATTTAAAATTTAGAGTGAAAAAGATTGATATTAAAAAATTATTTATTTTACCAAAATTTAACAAATCTCATCGCATTTTTTAAATATAAAGCTTGTCGACATTTTATCATTTAAATTATCGTGATAATATGTGATAATATAGTGTTTGTATTCAGTCTACTAAGGGAAATGAAATTAAAACAACTCACGCATAGAAATGGAAACAGAAAATATAAAAGGTAATAAGATTAAAACAGACCGAAAGAAATTTAATTTTATTTAAACGTATAATACAGATAACAAAACGTATTATATTAATAGCAAAGTGTAAAGTGGATGTGCTATCTAGCAGCAATTAAATCTGGGCGTTGTTCTTTATCTTTCTTTGCTTTTTTTCCCACTCTATCTTTTTTGCCCGAGTGTCGCTGTCATCGTCTTGCATACCTGTTGAATCGCACGCTGTTGAATTTTGCTGTCGCCTGTCTTGTGCACATGAAAATTCGTGAACCAATGCGACACTGAAAGTTTCTGTTATGTTATATTATGTTACTTGGCAGTTATTGAATTTTTGTTATCTTAACGTCCTTCATTTTATCAAACTTATTAAACTAAAAATCTCATCTTACATAATTATTAATTTGAATAATTATAATTAAATAATGTTAGCTGATTATTTAGTCTTTAATACTATTGAATCTTACACAAACAATAATCAAATTATTTTTATAATTTGTTAATTATTTTTTTAATTATTTTTCTTTTTTATTATTATGTTTATGTTACATAATAATATATTAACGATATTGTGTATGCTCAACAATTTAATAAAATATAGAAAAATGATTGCAAATATTTTTTTGCTTTTTTACACATTTTCAAATTCCAATGTATGGTTTTATATTTTAGGTACATATAATTTTTATTTATATTTTATGTCAATTTATATTTTATATCTAATTTATATTTTCTGTCAATTTTTAAATAATTACTCAGATTACTCCTAGGAATAAAAAAAAAAATTTTTTGAACTGCAACTTGCAAACTTAAAGATATATTAATATAAGACATTAATAAAATTAGTTTGTCCAAACTAGTTATTAATCAACTTTGTCAAGGGGTAATACATTATATAATTATATATTTATTAAATTTTGTTAATTTTGAATTAGTAACTAATAAGCTTGTAAATATATATTTCCAAAATAATATTATATATTATACTAATGGAATAAATTCAAGTGGTATAATATGCTAAATATACAATTGTGTCAATTTAATTTCTTGTTATGGAATTAACATCTTTCGTAATAGGTATTTTATATGATATTTTTTACTTTATATATGAAATTAATATATAAACATATACAAAAATTACTTTTCTTTTATAAATGCTTACTATTTTTTAATCAACGTTTAAAAATATCGTTACATATTTTATTCATTCATTTATACGTTATTTTTAAATAAATAATAATGCAATAATATTTTTGTTACGCTTTTACTGTTGTGAAACAACATTTTAAAACTTTTAAATGTAAAAGTAGCCTATCCCTTATATTTATATTAATTTATCAAAATTTACTTATGATATAAAGCAACTAATAAAAAACTTTTTTTTTATATTTGGAAAAAAAAATTGTTAAGAAATAATACAAAAGTTCATCTATTAATATAAATTTCTTTGATTAATTTTTAAAAATGTATATTTCAGTAAAAATTTCTATTAATATATTAAGAAAATATGTACAAATATGTATATATAATTAATTTATTTAATAATTTATAATAAATCTTGATAACTTGGCTATAAATTTTAAAAATTACTTATTAAATAGAAGAACTATTATTAAATGAGTATTATAAAACTTTGTTATACCATATGTTATACAAGTATGTAATTTTATAATTTTGGTTTAAAATTTATTTTCCTAATAATCTGTCATATTATGTATTACTAAGGCACTACACCCGAGATGTACTAATCGAGGTTGAATATTAAGTTCATTCGGCCGGAAATAACGAATTTGACAAAATTCCCCAAACTGGGTCTCTAGCCCCAAATTTAGATACTACACCATCACGAATATTATTGCAATCTATAATAAATCATCTGCCGCTGTGTGCAGCAATCTAACCACTCATGTACGCCCCAAATCTTATTCTTATGATTGAGTATGATAAATCCATTACTAATCGTATAAAAAACAAGAGAAAGTTCGTTTATATTAAATATCTTGGTCTGTCAGCAATATAATATTATTAATATTATTAAGGGAAAAATTAAAAATCTAATCCAGTGTATTTCCAATGCATTCACATAAAAATTGTTTTAATTGTTAGTGCATATTGTTTAATATAAAAATTAATATTCAAGATGAATCAGAAAACTGTAAAAAATATCATCCTTTTGATTTATGAGTGAAATATCTTTTATTAAAGTACATCTTAATTAGAATAAAAATAAGTTGCATAAGTATAGGTGTATTTTCTTTCGAAATAGTACGTTTGCATATGTGGCTGCATTAAAAATGCCTTTCCTAAGAGTCAGTTATAAAATAGTTATAGTATATTATTATAAATTAATACTTATAAAATCTTATTATACATATAAATAGTATATACATTACTATAATTAAATTAAAAAATATATTAACTAAATATTAAAACGATGTTAATTCTTTCGTTCAATATTTCTTTATATCATATTCAAAATTATCAATAGATTGATTTATTAAAAAATGTATGATCCTAATAGAAGGAGTCTTATATACAGATTTCTTAAGATTAATTTTTTTATTTATATTATATTGTTGTACTTTAAGGATTAAGTAATGGGCAAAGGTGAGGTGATCAGTGATAGAACGGATACCAATGAGTCGACAAGTTATTTGACAAAATCTACATCGGAAGCTAGCAAAATGTTGGAGGCAGCACTTCTTCAAATGGACGGCATTCTATCTGGTATTTTTAAATTCATTTTTTAGCATTACAATTTAATCATTACTAATACATTCAGTATATATTGTTACGGGTACTTTAAATATCGGGTAGAGATGAAAAATTTTATTGTATTTAAATATTTTAATCTTCTATACATTCTATACATTTAATCTTCTTAATACAGATAGAGGAAAGTTACGTATTAATTACTCTTTGTAAGATATGCATCGATAATATCGGCGTATAATGTTTTGCAGTAGAAAAAATTCATTTTTTATGCATAGATTTTTAATTTAAATAATTTTCTTATTAATAATGTCGAATAAATGGTTTTCAAATTACTTATACTAATTGCTTTAGCTTTATAAATTCTCAAAATAATATTTCAATCACTCAAAGAGTATTAATTTATTAAATTATGGTTCTTATTTTATATTTAAGGAGCTGAGAACAACTCGGAGTGGAAAGATCATATAAAAAATATCACTAGAAATTTGATAACTGTTATTCAAAACGCACCAACTTCACCTCCGCCACCTGATCCAACGACTACAGAAATTCTATTACAGTGGCTACAACCCGTAAGTCATGCATGCATTTTTTTCTTTTTCTTCTTTTTCTTTAAATAATTTAATGTTAATTTTTTAATAACATATTACTGTCAATACCCTTCATTGATAAAGTTATTTCTTATTGCATGACTGATGCAACATATACATAAATATATTTATATTTATAAATGTTTCACGTCCAAATTTATTAATTATGTAAAATACATAGGCTGAAGATACTTAATTACTTAATGATATTATATATGGTCCCATAGTATTAAATAATTATTATATCCCTATGTACTTGTTCGAGCGTGAGGTATGTCAACTCGAATGGATATAATCATTCGTAAGGAATACGTTCAATGATATTATAGGTACATTGTATAAGTTAGTCGTTATGTAGTTTTATAAATTCTCACAGAATGGAGATTGTGGATTAAGTTGGTTTTTTTTTTTTTTTTTTTAAGCCCAAACATATCTTATCGCAATATAAAATTTTACTTATAATTTTATAAAAGAATTAATTTGATGTAATTTTAATATATTGACATTAAAAATAGTTATAATCTATTTGTCTAAACGTTTACAATTTATCAATTATACCACAAATCAAATTTTATAATGTGATATAAATTGATAATTTAATGTTGTTTCTACAATAAATGCTAATGATGTAAATAATTTTATCCTTGCGTATTTTTTGCATACAAATTTAGCATCAAATATATTCGATGTTATAATTGGTGATATAATGGAATAATTTATAATTACTTAATTAATTATACAGATGTATAGATTAATTTAATAGTAGTAATAGAGTAATAGTCTTTGTTTTAGGAATGTCATGTGATTGGTCGAATATTTATTAATAAAAAACATCTTACATTTCTATTGAACATTAAACGTTTTTTTTATATTTTTTAAATTGCAATACTACTACTATTAATTGTGTTATGGATGCGATTTTAAATTACTATTTCGGATTTAGTATAACATTTTCCATCGCATGCTTAAATCCGTATTCAATTCTTTAAAAGAATAATCGATACTGAGTCAAGACGATAGCAATGAAAATACAAGGTATATTATCACACAAAAGTGTAATATAATGTTATCGTGCAAATCGATAACGGATATCATATAAGCAAAATTCTATAAGCTAAATATGTGCTAATATTTAGCTTTATTTTCGCCTTAATCACTCAATTTATAGACGAGTGAGTAGAAATATAAAATACAAAAAATGTGTTTTATTGGTTTGGAATTATTTATTATTTGTTATTTAATAATTTGTCTTTTCTGTGTGCGCATGCGTATAAATATCTGCATATAATTATTATTATAATATATACTGTAATGCAACTATTTATACATATTTTGACATTAAAAATATTTTTACAACATCAAAAATACACTATAATTTAATGTAGCAATTTTTTTGTTTGAAGTAATTTTTTTTTATCAATACATTGTTTTTATCATTTTCTTTTCAGTCTTACATTTTGGTTATTTTATTTCTTTTATAAATATAACATATTTTTTATAATTAATTTGAGAGATTCTATATTTATTTTATTAATTTTATACAATAGTTAAATGTTTAAAGATTAAGTTTAATCGATTTACTTAATTGATTATTTCATTATGTTTAGTCGATACTTATTACGCATAGTAACTTTTAAATGATATATTATGCAAATTTAACACTTGAAATTGACTTCAACTCAACCTCTGGAAAATCTATAAGAGCCTATCTTATATGATTCATATAATAACTTAATATTAAACTCATGCCTGTAGAATTCACTTACTATCTATAACGAACTTTATGAAGAGCCAAGGAGTACTTCTATTTATAAAATGCGTCTGTAAAGGCTTCTCCGTTGTTTAATTTTAGTTTTAAAGATGTGGTCTTATGAGAAGCGTATCAAATGTATCAGCCAGAAGTTAGCCTTTTGAATT